CGGATTTTGGCAGTTGTCGCCGCCGGACGGAGGGTTCCTCGCTGGCGTTCCCAAAGAACGCATCTCGGCAGCTCCAGAAGATGGCCTGGCTGCAGCGCCACGACAAGGAGAGCGGGGACCTGCGTGGTTTCTTGCAGATCGCGGAAGGCATGCCTGTGGCCCTCGCAGATCACATCGGCCGCAGCGAGGACAAGTGCCTTCTCCGTGGACGGTTTGGGACCGCGCACTCGCGGGTGCGCGATGGCGACGAAGGGCCCAGTCGATTCTCGCGCGGCGGTGATGCGATGCTGCAGAAGACGCCGAAAGCGGTATTCGTCCTCTTCGATGGACGAAGAAGGGATCCGAGTCCCTGCAGGTGGGCGATTTCCGGATTAGCGACGCCTGTTCTGCCCCCAGTGACACCGTAGAAAAAATGTTGGTTCGTGGACAAGGGGCGCTCGCATCCGCGTTTGAATTTGAAGCGGCGGCAGTTCCTTTTGGCGCCAGCGTTTGGGGCGGCGGCCCACTCAGCACAGGGCCAGGCATTCAAGCAAGGACTCACCGTCGACCTGAGAAGTGGTGGGGGCACGTCGCCGTCCCGGCCCTGGCGTGCGGTCGCCGGCGGGAGGGCGCGTTGATGCGTTGACCTCCCGGCCCGCTGACCGCGCGTCGCGCGCCCAGATGGAGCGGCCGGGCCCCGCGTTACTGTTGTGGGCATTGCGAGGAGAGAACCTGGATTGAGATGCAATCGAGAAGGCGCGAGCTGTGCACGTCAGCGAGGTACAAGAACCAATGTGGTCTTGGGCAGTGGAGTCGGGGCGATGGCCTCCGCGCGCGTAGCCTGCGCCTGGAAGGCAAGAGGGGAGCTGGCACGCCCTGGCAGCGCATGGGGCGCGGTCTGTGGAAAAGCCAAGATGTTTTCCATCCGTCCCAGCATCACTCGTCGAGATTGACGTCGTGACGCTGTGTCGATTCCCCCGAGCGAAGGAAATTTCTCGTTTGCGAGGTGCGGAAATACGAAGCTGCGTTCGCGCTGCATGAATGGGAGAAGGCAGGGAACGCCCGACGCAAAGGGGGGATGCGCGTCGAGTGCGACGAGCTGAAGCAGCGCCTGGAGTGCCCCCGCTGCGAAGAAGAGAAGCTGACTGGAGGGTTCCTGAAGGCGGGCGTTCACAGCGAAGGGCGGCCGTGCACGGAGCGCAGGAAGACAGCGAGGATGCAAGAGAAGGCGCGCGCCGATGAGGCCAAAGTGCGGGTGCGTTCCAGATGTGGGTTCTCGCTAAGTCGCGGTGAGTTTTCAGCTCGCAAGCTGGCCCACGCGCCAAGTGCGACGAAGCTGCCGCCGCGCAGCGGGGCAAGGAGGCGAGGATGGGCGCGAAAGTTTGCGCGGTGTGCGAGGTGGCGCAGCGGCGTGAAGGTTATTCGGATCGCACGTGGAGAGACGCGGCTGATCGGAACCGGAAGTGCAGGCGCCGCGTCGACGCAGGGAAGCTGCAGCGAGGCCGCTGGAAGCGCATAGCGCGCAAAGACGTTTTCCAGAGAGTGGACTTCAGCAGCTGGCTCTCCAAGCGCACGGCGTAGAGAAGTCGAATGGAGAGCAAAGGCAACGAGTGCGTCGCTGAGTAGGAGGGGAAGGGGAAGGAAGTCGCCGCGCGGAGCGCGGTGCCAGTTGCGCTTCGGCGGGGCATTTGTCGGGTCAGTGGCCGCAAGAGCAGGCTTCCAGGGCCCGGGGGTGCCGGGCCGCGGCGGAGGTCACCGGCGCGTTTCGGGCCAGAGAAGTTTGCGGGCGATGGGGCCACAAGAACACGGTCCCAGATGCTTGGAGGTGCCGGGGCGCGGCGGGGGGCCCCGGCAGGGTTTTCGCCAGATGTCGTCGGGCGGGGCGCCCCGAGAACGCGGTTCCATAGGCCCGGGGGTGCCGCGGCGTGGCGGGGAGGCATCGACATGTGTTGGGCCAGGAAAAAGTAGGCGGGGGGGCCCAAGAAAGGAGTTCCAGAGGCCTGGGGGCGCCGGTGCGCGGCGGGGGGCGTCGGCAAGCCTCGTGCCGCAAATTGGCGGGTGGAGGAACCCCGAGAACCGAGCTCCAGAGGCCTCGGGGTGCCGGGGCGCAGCGGGGGGCGTCGGTATACGTTTCAGGCTGGACGTTGTCGGGCGGGGGGCCCCAAGAACCGATTTCCAGTGGCCTGGGGGTGTCGGGGCGCGACGGGGAGCGTCGGCAGGTGTCGGGCGAGAAATTGCCGGGTGTGGGGGGGGGCCCACGAACCGAGTTTCAGAGGCTTGGCGGTGCGCCCCAAGAGCCGAGTTCCAGAGGCCCGGGGGCGCCGGGGACATTGTCGGGTGGGGGGGCCCGAGACCCGAGTTCCAGAGGCCTTGGGCTGCCGGGGCGCGGCGGGAGGTGATGGTAGGTTTCAGGGCAGAAATTGGCGGGTGGGGGGTCCAAAGAACCAAGTTCCAGAGGCCTGCGGGCGCCGGGGCGCGGTTATGTCGCCAAAATGGAGTTCCAGAGGCCTGCGTGTGCCAGGGCGCGGTGAGGGGATGTGGGTAGGTTTAGATTGCCAGGTGGGTGCCCCGAGAACCGAGTTCCAGAGGCTTGCGGGCGCCGTGGCGCGGCGGGGCGTGTCGGTAGGGCTCAGGCCAGAAATTGTCGGGAACAGGGGTCCGAATTCGAACGAAGTTCCAGAGGCCTGCGGGTGCTGGGGCGCGGCGGGGGCACGTTGTCGATAGGTTTCAGGCCAGAAGCTGTCGGATGGGGGGTCCTTAAACATTGCCAAGATCCAGAGGCATGCGGGGGGGTATCGGTAGATTTGGTTCCAGGGGCCTGGAGGTGCCCGGGGCGCGGTGGGGGATCTCAGTAGGGTAGTGGCCAAAGGAACAAACTTCCAGAGCCCGGGGGTGCCGGCCCGCGGTGATGGGCACCGGTAGGTTGTAGGCCAGTGAACTTGTCGGTCGAGGGGCCGCAAGAAAGCGGTCTCGCAATGTTTGGAGATGCCGGGGCGCGGTGGGGGGTATCAGTAGGGTTGAAGCCCGATGTTGTCGGATGGGGGGCCCCGAGAACAGGGTTCCAGAAGCCTGGCGGTGCCGGGGCGCGAGAAGGCATCGGTAAATGTCAGGCTAGACGATGTGGGGCGGGGGGTCCCAAAAACCTGATTCCAGAGGCCTGGGGGTGCCAGGGCGCCGGGCGCGGTGGGGGGTGTCGGTAGGTTTCAGGACCAAAAATGACGTGTGGGGGGTTCCAAGGAACGAGCTCCAGAGGCCTGGGGGTGCCAGGGCGCGGCGGGGGGTGTCGGTAGGGTTCAGATCAGAAATTATCGGGTGGGGGGTCAAAAACAGATTTCCAGAAACCTTGGGGTGTCGGGGCGCGGTGGGTGGTGTCGGCAAGGAGCAGGCCAGAAATTGTCCGGTGGGGGGTCCCAAAAAAAAGAGTTCCAGAGGCCTGGGGGTGCCGGGGCGCGGTAGGTGGTGTCGGCAGGGAGCAGGCCAAAAATTGTCGGGTGGGGGGTCCCACGAACAAAGTTCCAGAGGCCTGGGGGTGCCGGGGCGCGGTGGGTGGTGTCCAGAGGCTTGCGGGTGCCGGGGCGCGTGCGGGGGTGTCGGTAGGTTTCAGGCCAGAAATATTCGGGTGGGGGTCCCAAGAACCGAGTCGCAGAGGCTCTGTCACGTCCATCTTGGCTTCATAGGGTGTTTGTGTGATTTTGAAGGTCCTTGGAGTGTGTCGGCCAAGTCTGGCGGACGTTTGAATATTACAAGACGTTCGGAAACGCGTTTCGGCACATGTCTTTTGACGCGGAGACCCCCCGCAGCCCCCGGTCGCCCAGATCGTGCCACTGGCGCGCTGAGGGTTTCACTCCAGCGGCGCAGTTTTATCTTCAGTGTCTTTCGACACTTTGATGGGCGGTTTTTTCTGACCGCAGGCTCGCTTGATTCATGCGCTCGGTGTCGCGTCGCGCAGATGCCTGCTTTCAGGCGCGGGAATTGAAACATCAGAACCTACGGGCTGACCGGAGGCAAATTATAATTTTGGTTCCCTGACTACAGCAGGCTGGGAGTGGGAGGCGAGAGTAGTAACAGAGTACACTAGAGGCAGATGGAAAGAATGCAGAACAGAGCAGAGTGGGATCGAGCAAAGAAGTGCATGGTAGAGCAGAGTTGAGTCGGGTAGAATACAGTAAAGGTTGGTCCCCCCGTTGTCCAGTCCAGCGATCGTCAGGTCAGAGCTACTCCAGTCCGCTCCCACGCATCTCATTTGAGTATTATGATATATTTGGGGCCTGCGATGTCGGCTGTTTGTTGGTTTTGTGTCATTTCCCTTTCACTATGCCAAGTCCGTTCTACTACATTATGTTTGCTTCTCTCATGCTCTCTCTGTCTCTCCCCTTCTATATGTTTATATCGTTTTTGTTTTCTCTCTCTCTCTCTCTCTTTCTCTCCGTTTCTATTTTCGTGCGTTTGTGGAAACACGAACCTCTCATATGATGATGTGTGCGGATTCGGCAACACCTGCTTTTCATTCAGGGGGCCGGCGGCTCTTTGCGTGCATTATTATTGCAAGCGTCATGAGTAGGGTCACGCGTAGCACCGCTCAAATTCAACAGGGCGTTGCCATTCCCAGTCAGCGGAAGCCGCTTGGAACCGAACCGATGTTTTGAGTGAGGCGGGCTCAGCCTGAAGGCCCTCCTTTGCTCAAGGCATGAGATCTGCGGCCCAGTAATGGAGGATGACGATTAGTAAATGACCGGGGGTCGTGTTCACGCGGCGGCGCCCTGGATGACGATCAGAAAAAAAAACCTGCCGCGGGCTGGACAACTATGTTTATATTTGGAACATTAGAAAAATAAAAATAAATAAACACAAAAGACAAGTTCTCCTCCAGTCAGAAGCTTGTGCCGAAATCGCAGAGATCGATTGTTTTAGCGTCCTCTCCCATTTTTATGAATCGTCATCCCGCATTAAGAGGCAACGCTGTCGTGTAACGCGCTCTTCTGCTCATGATCGCTATCCTGGTGCCCGCTTTGGCAGCCGAGGTGGCCAGCGAACGGCCCGGCCAGCGGGACGGCGGGTTCCCACCAGGGGGGGGCGCGCGAGGTTGATCTTTCCAGAGGGAGCGAGTTTGAGAGAAAGAAATAAAGTCGGGCCGGACGAAAGGGGGGGAGTGGGAAAGGGGGGGTAATTACGAAATTTGCTGCATGCAGCTGGTTTCGGCCCCACCGAGGGGCACATTCCTCGATACATAGCTCCCTCTGGCGCCGGGAGGCGCCGGGAAAATCAGCTACGCGAGCTGATTCTCAAACCCCCCCTCTGCTATCCCCCCCTTTCGCCCGACCCGAGATAAAGGGGCGAAGCATAGAGACACGAATGCACGTGCACATACGTAGCACCCAGCATCTGCAGGCAAGAGTGCGGGGGCGGCGGCGGGGGCGAAAAGGTCATGCGCGTGGAGCTCCCTCTGAGGCCACGAAACGTATGAAGGATGTGCCGAAGTGGGTGCGGGGCCGCCATGCGAGCGCTGCAACTGGGGCCGTTGGTGGGGCTACCGATGGGGGCACGAACCTGTGAGGGGTGTGCCGAAATCTGCGCGGGGCCGCTGCCACTTGGAGCCCTCGGTGAGCCTTCCTTGGAGGCTGCGACAAGTGTGAGGGGTGTGCCGAAATGTGTGCGGAGCCCCCATGCGAACGCTGCCACTGGGGGCCTTCGGTGGAGTTCCCTCTGGGGTGCGGGGCCGCCATGCGAGCGCTGCCACTGGGGCCTTCGGCGGGGCTCCCTATAGGGGGCTGCGGCTACGTGCGAGGGGTGTGCCGAAATGGGCGCCAGGCCGCCCTGCGAACTCTGCCACACAAGGGGCCTGCGGTTGAGCCCCCTAGGGGGATGCGACAAGTGCGAGGGGTGTGCCAAAGTGGGTGCGGGGCCGCCCTGCGAGCGCTGCCACGGGGGGCCTTGGGTGGAGCTCCCCTATAGGGGGCGCGGAGCGCGTGGTGGGGGTCTGCCGGAGAGGGTGCGAGGCCGCCGTGCCAGAGTGGCAGCTGGGGCTTGCAGTGGAGCGCCCGGTGGGCCACGGAGAGCACGAGGGAGGTGCCGAAGCAGGCCGAAGCGAGGACGTGTGCAGGGCAGAGGCAGGGAGGACAGCAGGGAACACAAAGTGACATGAACATAACATATCGGAGGTCCGCGCGGATTTCTCGCATCGGCGGTGGGGCCCCCCCGGCGGGGCCTCCGGCGCCGCCCCTGGCGCGCTCCGCGCGCCAGGGAGGGGGGTCCACCGCCGATCCGAGAAATCCGCGCGGACCTCAGAGATTCTATGTTTATGCCACTTTTTGTTTCCCTAGACGGAACGGAGACGGGAAGGAGGGTAGCGGAAGGGAGGGAAGGAATGAAGGAGACGCAAGGCGTTGTCTCGTCAAAACGAGGGCCCAGCACCACGGGATGGTTGGGGAGAAGCTGCATCGGCAGAGATACTTGGAGGTCTGCGCTGATTTCTTGAACCTGCGCTGGACCCCTCTCCCCGCCGCGGGGAACGCGCCAGGAGCGCGCCAGAGACGCCGCTGGGGGGTCCTAGCGCAGATCCATGACATCCGCGCGGAGCTTTAAATGTTTGTCGTCATGCATTTCTTTTCTCTTCTAGTACCGCAAACCGACGCCTGGTGTTTCGGCGTGTTCGACCTCCGGCGGAAGCCGCCTCCCAGCCCCGGGGCCGACAAGAAGCGACTCAGGATGGCCAGCCGTCCCGGGGAAGAGGTTGAGGTCTCCAGCGGGTCCAAGATGGCGTCGGCGGAGGAGAGTCAGCGGGCAAAGAAAGGTTAAACATCAGTGTTCCTCGGTCAGGGACACCTGTCCCAGGGCGGATGGTAAACTTACAATCCCACCTGCCACCGCAATTCATAGTACAAAATGTCCAGACGCCTTGGGGCAGGCGTCCCCGAGCCCGCTACTATCGCCCAGCGCGTTCCACTACTCGCAAGGTGCCTACTCGCAAACGTCCTAAATATACAGGTCTTCCTCTATGTAATATATCGTAAATTGCCCGTGGAGGATCCAGGCAATTTGCGAGTAGTTGATTTGCAAGTAGTGGAACGCGCCTGTCCAGACTAGAAGGACTCCGGTTTTGGCAGTTTGGGGGTCCTGTTTGGGCCTCCTCATCGACACGGCCAGGCTCCCCTCGCAGTTTCTGTCCGACCAAACCCCAGGACGGGTCCAGGGGCAGAATTTTGACCCTCGAGCCTGGACCTTAGCTGCCTCGATACGCCCGTTTTGAAACGCAAAACGTGCCGTCTTCAGGACGTCCGTGTCAATACGTTGCGTGCTGGCTCCACGTATTGGACCACGTTTTGGCGAAGGTATCGCGTCGGACCTACGTTTTCAGCCTACGTGTTGAGCTCCGTATCAATACGATACGTGTTTCGTGTTGCGTATCGGGGAAGCTAAGGCCTGGACCACGCGTCGTTACATTGTCACGGCGGAAGGTTCTTCTCAGTTTTCGGCCTGCGGGTGCCAGGCTTCGATATGACTGCTTGGGATGTGACATGAGTCCCCGGGAACAGATCGGGACACTTTCTGAAACATATCTTCATTTTCTCCCATCGTGACTTTTTGTCCAGACTCGAGGGGGTCTCCGAGCCTTCTTCCTCCTCCCCCCCAGAAGGAGGAGGAGGAGGAGGAGGAGGAGGAGGAGCAAGGGGGGGAGGAGGAGGAGGAGGAGGAGGAGGAGGAGGAGGAGGAGGAGGAGGAGGAGGAGAGGAGAATGGGGGGGACGAGTAGGTGGAGGAGGAGGAGGAGGAGGAGGAGGAGGAGGAGGAGGAGGAGGAGGAGAGGGAGGAGGAGGAGGAGGAGGAGGAGGAGAGGAGGAGGGAGGAGGTGGAGGAGGAGGAGGAGGAGGAGGAGGAGGAGGAGGAGAGGAGGAGGAGGAGGAAGGGAGGAGGGGGAGATGGAGGAGGAGGAGGAGGAGGAGGCCCTCCGGCGAGAAGCCCAATGCGCAGGCCGCCACGGCAATGACCTCGGCTCGGCGGCCCGCCGCCCGCGCCACAGGTTCGCCGTGCCGCCCGTCGTCAAGACGCAGCTCGCGGCGGCGTGCTGGGCGTCGCTGGCCTGCAGGACCCCTGCGGCGGGGCCGTGCCCCCGCCATCCCCCGCCCTCCTCCTCCTCGTCCGCCTCCTCCTCCCTCCGCCTCCCCTCCTCCTCCTATCCGCTCCTCCTCTCCTCCTCCTCCTCCTCGCCTCCGCCTCCGCCTCTCCTCCTCCTCTCCTCCTCCTCCTCCTCCTCTCCCGCTTCCGCTTCCTCCTCCTCCTCCTCCTCCGCCCTCTCCCGTTTCCTCCTCCTCCACCTCCGCCGCCTCCTCCTCTTCCTCCTCCTCCTCTTCATCCCTCCCCTTCCTCGTCTCCTCCTCCTCCTCCTCCTCCTCCTCCTCCGCCTCCGCCTCGTGTGAGTTGTACGTGATGATCAGAGCGTGTTTGTGATTCGTGCGGGCGGGGCAGTGTAGCAGGAACGAAGATGAGTGCTCCTTTGCCACGCACGCTGCGTTTTTTTCGGCTCGAGGACGCATGCGACCCGAAGTGGGTGTCAGTTTCCTGGCCGTCGGGGTTGTTCGCGAACTGGCATTTCTCTCATCGCGCGCCCGACCAGACTGTCCAGATTGCTTCTGCGAGTGTCCACCGCTGCCAGAGTGCCCGAGCTGTCCAGCCTGTGTGTGTCCAGATAGTCTTCCTCCACCGCCGCCAGTTTGTGCGTTGCCGCCAAGTTTCTTCAACAAGTCATTCGCTGTTGTGCCCGCGGGGACGAAGAAGTATTATTGGCTGGTGGGTCTCAGCGGAGTCTTACCAGGTGTTCTCTGTGGGGTGCTGATCCCACGGTGTTTATGTTCGAGACGTATTGGAAGTCCCAGTGTCAGATGCCGAGGGCGGATTGAGAAGTGATGGCGGGAGTGAGTGAGGACATTCCAGGGTTTACGCTTTGGTATGGTATGAAGGGGGATAACTACGGCCATGAGAGGCTGTTGCTACGGGAGGTGAAGGCAGGCGGGGACAAGAAGGTTTGGGATGGGGCCGCGCTTGATTTTGATGTGTATGCAGAGGAGCACAACACGTCAGGCGATCGAAGAACGGTCAGGTTCATGCGATTTCGAGGCCGAACAGTTGGTCGTGCGGCGCCGAGGCCGCTGTGCAGGTTCAGCGAGACGGTGCCTTTTGAGAAGTTCAAAGAGTTGCGCGCAGAGGCCAAGGCTCGAGGAGGGCCTTGGGGAGTTTCACCACCGCAGGGACTACGACGAGGACTTCGGCATGCGCAATGCGCGGGCGCCGCTGCGCGTGCCGCTGGCGGGAGGCGCGGCGCCGTTGGAGGAAGGCGGCGCAGGGCCCCCTGCGGCGGCGAGATGACCGGGGGTGGCGGCTGCTCCTGGCGTAGTGCGGGTGGTCTCAGAGCCCGCGTTCGAGGGGGGCCGCGAGGTGGCGCGGCTGGGCTCGGAGGTGCCCGACGCTGCGGTTGCGGCCAGGCTGGGCAACCGAGGCTTCGCGAAGTTCGGCGAGGTGATCGTGGCGTTGGGGCAGATCAGCTCGGAGAGGTTCGACGCCTACGCGGAGGAGCGCATGGGCCTGCTGCACCTGGGGCCGGGCGGTCCGCCCACGCCCACGGGCAAGGAGGAGGCCCCCACTAGCCTCGCGGCGCTGCGTGGGGCCCTGGGCGGGCCCGCGGCGCCGGCAGGCCAGGGCGCTCCGAGTCCCGAGGTCGAGGAGGACGCGCGCGCCTTGTCGGCGAAGTATAGCGCCCATGGGGGCTAGAGAGCGTGCGTGGGTTGACGCAGTCAAGGAGCTCGCCGAAGACGGTTTTTCCATATTGGCCTTTAGATGGGCCGTGTACTGTTCTCTGGCTGATGGGCTCGTTTGCGCAGTTGTCGACGGTGCCGACTGTTTGGCTGGAGAGACATTTGCAGACGGCGGGGTGGGGTGAGAACGACAGATCCATCCATGAGGTGCGCGCGATGACGGCGGCGTTTGAGCTGGCCCACTCAGCATGATCAAGTCAACGTTGCACCCCTGGCCTCTTTTGAGAGATTGGGCAGACGTTGGCAGGCGATTCTGTGGGCTCATGGGAAGAACCCGTCGGCGCCCAACTCTGAGATTGCGGAAAAATCCCAGGCTACAACCGTCGGCATCAGATGGTTGCGCCCTCGCTTCGTTCGTTCGTCGCCGAGGAGGTCAGGGAGGAGGCGGAGATCGATGAGCAGACGAGCAAGGCCAAGAAGATGAAGGATGAGGCCCGAGTAGCTTTGAAGAGAAACAGCAACATAGACAAGGACGAGGACAAGGACGGCGGCGGCTGATGTCCTTGCCTTGGATCCCGATAGACAGCGCCGACGCCATTCGCCGCGGCGCCGACGCGCGCCCAGGCGAGAGCGACGCAAGACGGCATGGGACTGGAGGCCATTCGCGGCCAGAACATGCCCTTCTCTTTCCGCTTGAATCTTGCCCGGGCTATTCTCATAAGCCTGCTCGTTTGTCTAGGAGGTGCCGGAGGTGGGCCAATCTCAGGTGCCATGGGTCGCGCGAGACTGGGGGGGGTCACGCAGGGCCTCAACTGTCTGCGCGACCGAGCTCAGAGCCCCCTTGTCGACCCTGTCGTGGTTGATGAGGTCCATAGTTTTGTCTCGGAACGAGTTGCTGGGCAGCCGCCCGTTCCCGCATTTTTGGACAGGGAGGGGGCCGTCCGCGAGCTCATTCTCAGCATGTGCGGCTGCGACCACAGTGCGTCCACAGTCGTCGAGTTCGATCGACGCCCCGTCCCGCTGCCTGAGGGGGTCCAGGACAGGAATGTGATCGAGGATCTGGTTCCCGTGGTGGACGGGGAGTTGGCGGTGAACTTTAGAGAGAACATGATGGGAGATGCGAAGGAAGCGATGCAAATGCGGGAGCTCGGCGAGGACATCGCCCCATGTTTTGACCAGCGGGCGCGCGCTCCGGTGCGATTACGCGCGGTTTTTGAAGATGTTGCACTCGAGAGGTCTAGTTCGCTGGACCACCTCGCCAAGGGAGTTAGTTCCGCCTTTCTTCGCAATGCAAAGGGGCGGAAGACAGCGCCTCACCATCGATGCGAGACGCACCGGCCAGCTTCCCAGGGACCCCCGAGCATTCTTCTCGCGACGCCAGAGAGTTTCGCGGGGTTGGAGGTGGAGGAGGGGGTGGACCTGTACGAGGCCTCGCTCGATGCAGACAAGTGTTTCCACAGGGTCGGGATCGATCAGCAGTTGGGGGAGTACTTCAGTCTGCCGCTTGTTCGGGAAAAAGGGCAGGGACTTCCCAACGTTCACGGGGCGGGGATTTCTGGTGTCAGTTTGGCATGGGCTCCCATGGCCGTTCTTCCCATGGGCGTCTTCTGGTCGGTTTGCTGGACGCAGCGCATCAACGCGCGTCTGGTTCGGGAAGCCTCTGGGGTGGAGGGCGCGCCCTCGGTCGAGGGCAGGGGGGGGGGGCGGTCTTCGTCGGGAAGTCCAGCCCGCCCACTTTCTACGTTCACGTGGACAACGTGGGTGTCTTGGGGTCGAGGTCCAGAAGTCGTTGGAAAACGCCCGCGAGATCCTGGTTGCTAACAAGATCCAGCGTCGTGAAGTTCAGGGGGCGGGGGCATGCGCGGGGGGCCTTAGGAATCGAGTTCATGAGGGAGCTGGGATGTTTCAGACATTCGGGGAAGCGCTATTGAAAGATTTGTCTTTGTCTTGAGGCGTTTCTGGAGTGTCCTAAGGTCTCGGGCAAAGGACTTGAGGTATTCTTGGGGCACTGTACTTACCCCGCTACGCTTCAAAAGCCACTGATGTCTTGCTTTGCGTCGGTCTATAAACGCAGGCCCTCGCGGGTACCGTTGCGGGGGGCGGCGAGGGAGGAGTTGCGGGTTTTTATTTATCTCATGCCGTTGATCCGCGCTGACTGGAGCCGCAGTCGGATGAATCAGGTGGTCGCGTGCGACCCCCGCCCCGCAGGAACAGGAGTGCGTGTCCGTCAGACAGTCGAGCTGGACAGCGCCCCACGGCAGGGCGCAGGAGAGGGCTCGGTTCGTGCGTCACGACTCGGCGCAAGCTCGGGGTCGCGCACTTTCTTGTTTACATCCTGATGACCCCCTGGTGTCCGTGACGCCCGCCCGTGTCCTGGACGAGGTCTCGGAGGTTCGGGGGCAGGGCGCCTCGTTTCCATAGGTTCCGTTCGTGGGTCTGGCCGGGAAGAATTGGAAGGCGATGCGGTGCCACGCCTGGAGGAGGAAGATGACGGCGCACGAGGGGGAAGCCAGGGCTGGAGTCTTGGGCGCGGGCAATGTGGTGTTTTCTCCTGGGGGTGCTGGTCGGCGGCTTCCGGTGCTGGGAGACAACCCCGGGGTCGCGCTCAGCCTTGGGGGATCCAGGGCTCGGGCCTTCCCGCTTCTGGCCCAGGTGCGACGGATGGCAGCGATCTCGCTGTCACGAAACATGTTCCTTGGGTTCAGATGGATCCCCAGCGAGTTCAATGTCGTTGGCGAGCCCCCACGCAGGCCAGACATACAACGAAGGGACCTCCTGGAGCTCAAGGTTACCCCCGAGATACGTCAGTTGGCGCGGGGCCACTCCTTAGCTATTTTGGCTAACCATGAGATTGATTTACGTGCCAATCCAGTATTGGTTTGGGCGCAGGATGTCCTTAGTGGGGAAGTCCAAGAGAGCGACGGAGGCAGAGGAGACGGAGATGCGGGTCTTGCTACGTCGGACGGAGCCTCTACCCCTGGAGAAGAGGTGGGCGGCCACGTTCCAGGAAAGGCGCCTGCAGGAGCCTCTGTCGGTCCAGCTAGAGCAGGCACGGCGGGCTGCCGAACGAATCCGTTCGGGCGGCGCGACCTCGGAAGAGGATGGGCACCCCCTGATCGAGGACAGAGTTTTTCGGCGCAAGCAGCACCTTGCGGAGATGGCCGAGGAGGCTGGTATGCAGCGCGTTTCGGCACTAGAACGAAGCTCGGTAGGCGAGCGAACCTTGACTCAGCATCGCAGACCGCATCGAGGACTTGTCGGTTACGTCGAGCAGCAGATGCTCAAGACCGACAAGGTCCAAGACTTCATCGTGGCCATCGTCGCGCTCATGACTCGCATGTATT